TGCCATGAGGTTGCCACCTTAGACCACCACATGCCCTTCAGAGAAACATCAGCACACTCATACAGGCATGCATATGCATCCTGTAACTTGATCCAAAGTGGCCAGAAAATATAAGGTGGCAGCTTGCTTCTGGAGTTGCTGAGCAGTGTCCCACTGCAAGAGCCAGGCCAAGCCTCTCCACAGTCTGACTCGCCAAAGGGAGCACTTCTGCTGGGCCAGTTGCTCCCCCCACTGAGCTTTTGTGCTCAGTGCTTGGCCAGGGGAGGAGAGCACTTCCCTATGCTGCCCCCTTCTTTCTCTTGGCCCCACCGACAAGCGAGGAGGAAAGCCAGACTTGGGGGATGGCCCCCACCCTGAAAGATCAGCCTCTGCCATTCTCTCCCAGCCCTCTTTACTGGTGGCAATAGCAAATGTACCATGATGAAGACAGAATCCTGTTGCTATGCAAAGGCAAGTACAGGGATGCTTCACTCCCACACTAAGACTCCAGCTGTCACCCTTGCCACAACAGAGCAATAGCTCTTTCATCCCTTTGCTGCAACAGGGCTACAGGCAGGGGTGGGATTCAAATTTTTTAACAATCAGTTCTGTGGATGTGGCTAAGTTGGTGGGCATGGCTTGGTGGTCATGTTATTGGCTAGGCGTGGTCAACTCAATATCACTCACATCTCCTCACCTGGTCTCTCATGACTGTGGGGATGCTGCACCAGTCGTAAGTGTGAAAATAGCCATAAGTCACTTTTTTCAGTGCCATTGTAACTTTGAATGGTCACTCCACACAAGCAAAGTACCAGCAAAGGAGGGGGAAAAAAATTCCAGAGAAGTTCCTGAGACAGGAAGTCTAGTCCTGCCAAGAATGTAATAAGGGTTAACAGAGAGGCAGTTTCTGTAAGCAACACCAGAATGTTTCCTTCCTGCCTTCCTTACAGGATTAGGTCAGTAATTTCTTCTAACAACTGGTTCTCCAAATTGCTTAGAATATTAACAACCGGTTCTAGCAAATAGGTGAAAACTGGTAGAATCCCACCCCTGGCTACAGGGAGTTGCAGCAGAGGGGTGAAAGAGCCACATGCAGCTCTGGAGCCATGGATTGCCGACACCCAGACTATGGTGAAAGAAAGCAAAGGTAGTATCTACAGTTATAAGTGTCTTGGGTACAAGCAATCCCAAAACACCTGTAGCACCTCTTGAACACCACTGGCACTGACAAATTCACCACCAGTCAATTGCAAAAAACAGCTTTATTCAGAACAGCTTCCATCCTGTGACATATCTTTAACATCAATATTTGCCTATCCCAGATACTTGGAAAGTATTCAATAGGTGAATAAAAATTTCAAATCTAAACATTTGACTGACTGTGTGATAAACCATAATAATATAATTTGAAAGGAACCATAGATTACATTATATATACCTCTATCTCTTTTCATGCTCTAGGCTGTATTGGCTTCCTCCTTGGAATGTGCTCCCTCCTTACTGGGAAATTTCTGCTTCACTTTACTCCATACCACCTACCTCTCCATCGGCAACATTCCAGATTAGATTTGTTGGATGCTGATGATTCACTCTGATGAACCTCCCCTGGATGCAAGATGCAGATTACTGATTATAGATGTGACAGTGAAGTTTGGATGTGTTGGCACTGGGAAGAAGGCATGGAATGGGCTGGGGAAATACGGTAGTTGTAAATACTATTTTCAATCTGAGATGTTCCTGCTCCTTTCAATGTTTATATTTGCCAGTGTTTTGCTTTTGGACAATTACAGGTAGTCCTCCACTTATGACCACAATTGAACCCAAAACTTATGTTTTTAAGTGAGACATTTGTTAAGTGAGTTTTGCCTTATTTTACAATCTTTCTTGCCACAGTTGTTAAGTGAATCATTGCAGTTCTTAAGTTAGTAATACAGTTGTTAAGTGAATCTGGTTTCCGCATTGACTTTCCTTGTCAGAGGATCACAAAAGGTGATCACATGACCCTGGCATACTACAACCATCACAAATGTGAGTCAGCTGCTAAGCATTTGAATGTTATCATGTGACCCATAGGGATGCTTAACAGTCGTAAGTTGAAAAACAGTCATAAGTCACTTCTTGTCACAACAGACATGTTGTAACTTTGAACAGTCGCCAGGTGAAGTGTTGTAGGTTGAGGACTACTGGTATTTAACCAACTCTGTGGAATAGGCCCTCTTTTCATTTCCCAGCCCTTGCAGAGCTTCCCTTCCTTTCTTTCTGTTTTAAAACATGCTTAAGTTCCGACATTCAAGTGTTGTTACTTCGTATTTCGAGGTTGAATTACCAGTTATTCCACAGTTTGCACAGAGCTACAGAAAAAGGTGGAATAAAAGAACATTTATTTTCTTGATTTGTACCATCCGCACTGCAATGGTTCATAAAGGAACAAGTGTGATGTCTCCTGTGGATGATAGCTCATCCACATCTTCCTTAGAGGCCTCAATGGAGAATGAGAACATACCTGGCACGTCTGGTATTGCTGACCCTGAATTGCTGAACATGCCTTGGCTGGGGAGAGAAAAAAGGGGAGGAGCTACTGGTTTTTGATAGATGCTAGAGTACATAGGGCAAAAATGCAGAGATCTGCCAGATTGATGGGAGAAAGGCCTTGCCCCTCTTAATGGGCTGCACTGGGAGGGGCTATGTAGCATAGTAAGCAGAAGGAGACCTTGCTGGAAGCAATGTGTGTTGGTTATGACCAGATGGTTGTGTTTCCATGACTGCAGCTCTTTCTCTTTCTTTTTTTAAACCAAGCTCCAACTTAAAACTTAGTGAATATCAACTTCTTTTATTCTTTTTTCCAGGACTCAGCCCTGGTACCACAATATTTGTTTTCAAAAAGCATCTGTCTTTAAAGGATGTCTAAAAGGGCAAAAGGCTTTATTCCAATTTCCGGAAAAAAAGGATTTATATATATATTTTTCAAAGTGAAAATATATTCCTTTTCCATGGAAAAATGTTTATTTTGCTGCAAAATTAATATGGAAGACAATAAAATGCAAATTTAAATTTATGGTTGACATTATTGCCTTGAATTCACTCTAAGTAATGTTACTCTTCTAAATTACTTGTAGGTACAGTTTTAAATGTGTTTTGATCAACAATTATGTTGAAGACAACTAAATAAATGTATCTGGACAAATAAATTTTGCTCTGTGAACATTCTTATTCAAGGATCCAAACAATTTCATTTCAGCATTTCTGTTCCATCCTCTTATCCCACATTTTGTTTCTTCTATAAAAGATATCCAACATTCTGTGATTCCTAATCATACTGAATTGGTCTGAGATTATTTTTGCTTCTTAATATTTATGACTTAAGGGTTTCTTTTTTTTTTTGCCTTTCTGAAACTTTTACCTACTTGTAGTGTGAAAATGTAGGAATGTAGATGAATTTCTTATATATACAAACATAAACACACCCACAAACACCCACACATAAACATTGTTGATTCAAAAATTCTACATCTTGAATATTAATAATGCAGATCTGATCTACTGATGATATCCAGTAAACCAAGGGTCCCCAACCCCCAGGCCACAGCCCACTACCAGGCTGTGGCTTATTCAGAACTGGGCTGCATGAGCGATGGGCCAATGCACCTGTGAATGCACACGCAGTTCAACTTGAATTGAGCTGCGTGCATGTGCATGCTGGCCCGTCACTCACATGGCCCAATTCCTCTCTCCCCGCTATCCAAGTCTCCAAGCCACAAAGGTTGGGATCTACTGCAGTAAACAATACCTCCTCTAAAATTATTTATCAAAATGAACATTCTGGTCATAGAAAACGTTAGCCTTTTTGCAGAAGTACATTTTCTCAATTAGCTTTCTTCAAACATACACCTTCCATGTATGTTGATACAAACTTTTCTCTATGCTGGTTGGGAATTTTCAGAATTACAGACCTAAATAATTTGTAGAGTATCAGATTGGGAAATGTATTGGGAAGATATCATAAAGACAAAAATTATTACTGCCAAACTATTAGGTGGAGCGAGAAATGATACCCATTCCCAGATAGATGAAATCAAGAAGAAATTGCACTTCTTTGCCAAAGATATTCTGATAGGAGACAATGAAAAGTCAATGTTTGTTTTGCTATCTAATTACTTACTCCTGCTGTAGTTAAACCTGAAGTGATCTGAAGTAATTACAAATTATGACTTTTTATAAATTCTGTCTGATTCTTACAGAACAATTTTATTATGGAGGGGGAGGAGGAGGAGGAGGAGGAGGATGTTACTGCTGACAATGCAAGTCCCAGCCAAACATAAAAATCCAATTTGTATGGAAATTCATTGACCCCATATTCTTCACTAAGTAATCCTTCAGGTCAAGTCTGATGGCAAGATAGCAAGGGGAAACTGCAGTGGTATTTATCTGTAACAAATAATCTAAGAGATTGTTTAGCATACAGGATGAAGCTAATAAGCCAAATCTGCTACTAAGGTATCAGCTTTAGAGATTCATATTTTTTAAAAATGATTATATTGAAGTGGATTAAAATATAGAATGGCATTTCATATATGCATACTTGATTTTTTAGAAAGAAAAATGAATTCTTGATCGAAGTGGGAAAGAGCAAAGATTAAAAAAGACTATTAAACATTGGGCCTAATAGAAATACAGTTTTTTGTTTTAGTAACTATAGACATAGCAAGCTTCAGATAGTGATGTAACTATTAATTCCTTCATTTCTTATAAAAATTGTCTCAAGCTCAGGCAGAATTAATTGCAGGAGTAAAAGTGGCTATATCAACATGTGGACATCTCACTTGTTACTTTAATATAACATACTTAGTGTAACATCTAATTTTTTTTGTACAATGTCAAACCTGAAGCATACATCACCATTCCACAAACAAATGCACTCTGAAAAAAATGGAAGAGTAATTACTATTCTTCATTCATAGGGATTTCAGTTTCTCAAGGTAAAGCTCAATGGGTTGGTAATATACTAAGACCAATTTTTTAAAAATAATGTTTATTAACTAATTCATAATTCACACAATATTATGTTAAATGATACATAAATATTTGCCAAATTTAAAAAAAAACAAAAAAATCACCTTCCCATTCAGAAATTTTCCTCCACTCACTATTCCTTCAATATAGTTTTCTATCCTGTAAAAGCTAAGTTGTAGTCTTGGGCTAAACAGAGATGAACTTAAGAAAGGGCACTATTTTCAATGTTTCATGCACCTGGGGTTAAAGAGCAACTTAAACTGCACAGAGGCCAAAAATAAACTTAAAGCTATTTAACACACTAATAAATGTTTGTGTAAACATTTAAGTGATATACATAAAGGCTTAAATATAGAATTTAAAGTGTTTCAGAGAAATACTTTGTTGCTGAGAAAGATTCTTTTCTCCCCAACAATATATATTGTGGAAAAAATGACATTCTTTTGCTATTGCTTCTCTAGAAGACATGCAGGCAGTTTGTTTGCTAGCTTTTGATTAGAAAGTTTCTTTGCAGTAAGGCAAGACATATATATATACTCCCTGTGTTGCCAGATTAAATTGAACCTGGTTTTGTTAGAAAAAAATATTGCTTAATAGACTAGAGAAGATGGCACATTGGAAGAACATTTTAAAAAGGGATTGCAGGAAACAGTTTAAAATGGTGATTGCTGTAGTTTCACACACTTTTCAAGAATAGAATGTAGATGGCGGTTCACAGTGCATTTGAATCTCCTCAGCAAGACTGAGGCACAGCAGAATCCGCTTTTTCTCAGCTGTCAGTTCCTCTTTGGGGATCTGTCCCAAAAGTTTTTTGGCAAAGATAATCAGGTCTTGCATGAAAAGGCCAACTGGTGAACGTGGAGCCTCAGGAAGACATTCCAAGCATCCATTTTTGAAACAGAAGTTAATCTTCTTATCCCGTTTCATTCCTGGACCCCTTTCTTCAATCCAAGTCAGAGGCCTTAGTTAAAGCAGAAAGAGTTTTTTTTTTTTTAAAGGAAGAAATAAAACATTCCTAAGAACTATTTAAAAGAAAAGCATTTATTTTAGTGCCACAAAGATGGCAAAATTGTGAACATTAATTAGTCCAAGTTTTTGAACTCTATATAAATAATTGCCATTTAGCAGTATTTTAGCAGATTCATTGCTTGATTTGTCATTTGTACTGTTTTAATATACAGAACTGCTATGGTTCATTGCCTTTATGTTTAGTTATGTGCTTTGTGTGATTTCAATAGAAATAGACCTTCTTTGTATCAACTAATATTTCGACAACAGGAGGGGAGAAAAAAGACTCAGATACTATAGCCTTGAATGGGTAGGAGTATACTCCATAATGCATTTGCCAAGTATTATATACTAAAGATATTCTACAAATTACTGATTTTAAAATAAAAGTTATTAACAAATTGGTACAGTTATGTCAGTGGGAATCATGTGCTGGTCACTGTTGCTCAAACTAAAATCAAAATCATGAAATCATGTCACAGTGATTAGTAAGCTTGAATAGTTGGAACCCAGGGGCCAGAAAGCAGATTAAAAAAAGATGGCATAGAATCTACTAGTGAAGCTTGAAAAATACAACAAAACAGTCATTTTTGTATATTGGAATCAAGAGATGTTGGGATTGCAATCTTTTTTTGTGAACTGGTTTGAAAGACTATAGCTTGTGAATGTTTTATTAGGAAATAGAGAAAATAAGGCACAATGATAACATACATTTTGAAAAGGGGACATCTCATCACAGCAGGTTTATGACAAAACACCCTATGATGAAATTTCATGGGTATTTCATGGGTATATATATATTTTATTTAAATATATATATATATATAATAAATATTTTAAAAGAATAAAAACCATACAAATTTTGAAAGAGAAAAATAAGCAAAGGAGAGAAAAAAAATAAGTAATTGAAGAAAAATAAAAATGGGAGAGGAGGAAAAGAAAGGGAAGGGAAGGGAGAAAAGGGAAGGGAAGGATAGGAGTGTCTCTTGATTTTTTTAACAGTCAGTAATAAATATAGTTATTGTCTTTAATTAAACAAGTCAATTTTGTCATCACTGCTAATTCTGTCATTCTCATCAGCCATTCTCTATGCTGATTATTTTAATCTTTCCATTTTTGCATTTTGCAGTGCCCTCACTAAAAGGATTTTCATGTATTTGGTCAGGAATATATTAACAATGCTTTTATGTTTATCAGATACTCATGTTAGATGTTAAAATCTAGGCTTCTGTCACAGTTAAAATAGCCACAAGTAAGAGCTGCCAAATATTCAGCAACTGGATGATGTCATTGGAACAATGCCAGTAGGAAACTGCCAAGGAACAGAATAGATCTGGAGCAATATATGTCAACCAAAAGTTAAGAGGCTAGTATGATATTCAGAAGTTGTTTGCATAGATCTCTGTAGGGTCTACAAAGACAACACAGATATTGTTGTCCAAGATGATCCTGCAATATTCAACCCTCTGCTTTGTGTGTGTGTGTGTGTGTGTGTGTGTGTGATGAATGGCTTATTTGTATGTATGTATGTATGTTATGTATGTATGTATGTATTTATGGTATTTAGCTTTGTTCGGGTATTTTCCCACATCTTTATAGTTGTGCTTTTAAAGTTATAGCGACGTTTCAGCAGAATCTCATCTGCCATTATCAGGCTTGTTATGTATTGAGTTCATCTTAGTCTTGTGTGTTAGGCTTTTGCAGCCGTTTCTCTTTTAAATTTGGTGCTAGCCTCGTGCTTTGTTAGAATGTTTTTTTTTTTCATCCTGATTGGTTGGGAGTCTTGGTCTTTTTTGTCGTCTTGGAGTTTGTTGTGTTCTGCTTGATTGGTGTTTCTAATGTCTTCTGTCTGTTTTGTAGCATTTTTTAAAAATCTTGATTGGCTAGCAACATTGTGTTTTGTGTATTGGGGGCTTTCAGCATGGCTTGGCTTCAGGTGAATGGCCAGCTATTGTTCTTAGGAAGCTAGGTTTCATCTGGGTGGCTAGCTGGGGTGTGTTTGGGCTGGAGGTATCGGGGGGGGTGTCTGTTTGTGTCCATACATATAAATACCCGCCAAAACTTAAGAAAACAAATATACATATACATATATGTTTTCATAGATTTTCACGAGTATAGGTATGCAGGTTTTGGCGTGTTTGGGTCTTTTCCTGTGTAAGATTGAGAGTATCTTGGCGACGTTTCGATGAGGTGCCCCTCACCATTTTCAGGCTGGTGCTTTTGGCTTCATGCTTGTGTGAGCAAAGCGTGATCAGAGCTGCTGTCTCTCTATAAATACTGGTGGGAAGGTGTGGTGTGCTCGCTCTGTTGTAAGCGGGCTGGTTGGCTATGTTGTTATTTCTTGATTGGTTGATGGAGTTGACATTTGCAGACAAATGGTGAACTGAAGACTATGATGAACAGTAGACCTGCTCTTCATAACTCCTCTCTGGATAAGGAGAGGATTTGGCATTGTCAACATATGCTCCAGACTGTTGTATCTTGTGATGAGGCTGCAAGATAACTGTCTTCAGTTGATTTAGAGCACTGGGTGTTGACGGAATAGCTATCTAGCTTAAACCATGGTCTGGGCCATCAAAAGGACATTCAACTTCTATATTTCCTTTTCTAATCCTTTGAAAAATTGGCTAACTACTTTTCAGTTATTAGGAAACATTTGATTTAACATATTTGAAAATACAGATCTGTTTTCTTGAATCCTTAGTGAAAGAAGTTTTAAATACTTAAAGAAAAGGTTTAAGAACTTAAATATAATTGTTTTTGAAACAAACAACAAAAGGTTGATTAAAACTTTCAGTTTGAAAAGTTACAAATAGACATTTATTTATTAAATTTATTTGCCACCCATTGTACTGCAAGGCAGAACTAAGGATCCAGATAGATTTGAAATAAGTTTACAATTAATTATAGGAGAACATATTTGTTTTTTGATGTATTTTTCAGCATTCAGCTGGGGTGGATTTTTAAAAATATATTTATATAAAATTGATATTTGGGGAGAGTTGTACACAAGGCTTTTTTTTCTTTTTGTGGTTAATGTTGGATGTTTCTCTCTCTCTCTCTCTCTCCTTTATTTCTTTCATATTTAATTTTTGATGATAAAAAAATAAGTATATTAAAAATAATTAATTATAGAATCCTTCCCTTGGGAAAATACTTTTATTTTGAATTCTTTACAAAAATGATAGGATGGGACTTTAAAGGTTAGACATTAAATGAAACCAGAAGGAACTAAATATTACAAGTAAAGGAGAAATATGACTTACTTTCCCTGAAAATAAGATCCAACCAGAAAATAATCCCTAGCATGATTTTTTCAGAATGCTTGTAATATAAGGCCTACCCCAAAGTAAGCCCTGTTAAGATTGTGAGTCCTTTGGGGTGGGGTGGGCATGGCCAGCACAGGAGGTGCTGAGTGTGCAAGGGCTGACCGTGTCTGGCAGCAGCTGCAACCTGCCAGCCAATGGCCGGCACACTTGGATAGCCCATATAGCACAGGTGAGTCCAAGCACTGCAGCCGCCAGCCCGGCCCCCCAAGCAACAGGCAAAGGCAGAGGCATGGGGAAAACATACAATCCAGCCTTCTGGACACACTGTGCAGCCACCTGCCCTTTCAAGGCTTTGGGCAAAGACAAACAGTGGAATGGAGAGGGTGGGTAGCTTCTTGACTGGTGTACTCTGGGCCTGCACAGCCAGTTCAGCACAAGTTGAAAAAGTGCTGCAACCACCAGCCAGCCCTCCTCACCCCATGTGCACCCCCACCTAGAGTGCCCAATGCAACTCACCTTGCCACGAGGCTGCTTCTATCTTCCAATAGAAGTGCCTTGAGGGCAGAGTCACCAACCGCTTCTATCTGCTGATAGAAGTGGCCTCGTAGAGCACCCTGTGAGCAGCCATGTGTCGCCATGAGGCCACTTCTATCAGCTGATAGAAGCGCCCCGAGGCCAGAGTCACCAGCCACTTCTTTTGGCCAATAGAAGTGGCCTCATGGAGTGCCCTGCCGGCAGCCACGCCTCACCACGAGGCCATTTCTATTAGCTGATAGAAGCACCCCAAGGCCAGAGTCACCAGCCACTTCTATCAGCTGATAGAAACAGCCTCATGGCTATACATCAGGTTCCCAACTGCAAGCTCAATCACTTACTTATACCGTTGTCAGAGTAAATATCAGATGATCTCAAGATTCCTGCTGCATTTCTGCTTCCTGAGCCAGCTGCTCTTCTTTGTCCCCTCAGATAGCCCTATTCCCCTCGCCCCCAGTTTCCCACTGCAATCACTTGGACAGAATTGGTCGCAGGAGGGTCGCTAAAGAAGCTGATTCCACCTACCACCTGCAATGGGCAGTTCCGGGCCCCTCCACTTAGGCTCCCAATTAAGGGAACTCACAGTTTACTCAATTGCTCAACTGATTTCAAAGAGAGATCAGGGGGATCTTTGTGCCCCTTGCCATCCACTAGCATCGTCAGGGGGGAAGGTATGCTTCGAGGGGGAGATTGCTTTCCGTAAAACTGCAAGCTAAACATCCCACCTTTCTCCTACCTTCTTCTCAAGGTTTTGCTTGCAGCTTGGCCACTGACAGGTGTTTGAATTCACCTTCAGCTCTCCCTTGTGTGGTTGGTGGGGTATTTTGGCATCTCTTGTTCAGACAGTGCAAGGGTGAGGGTAATAGTTTTGGCTTCTGCACAGACAGCTTCTGTAGTCTGTGGCGTGGTTTGTAGGATGATTCCCTTTCTCTTATGTTTGGATGGGAAGGTTTGCCTCTGCTCAAAGAGCAAATTGGATAGATGGTTCCCTTTTAAAAACTACCAGGGGAGGGGGTGGAAGCTGCCCAGCCAGTCTGTATTCTTAGGGAACTGACGGAGGGAATGAGAATAAAGAAAACTTAAAAGAGCGGGGGAAAGGTCCACGGGGTGTGTGTGGCTGGAACAAGAGGAGAGCACCCGAGCATACAGG